GCAATAAACGTCTAGAAAACTACAATATATAAAGTATAACAGATAAGATGCTGGAATATAATTGTTTGAGAATTTTGATCAGAATGAAAAGAATCATGTTTAATGTTTTTTGTCAGTATGCGTTTTGACTGTGATATCAATATCAACTTTCTCTTTGTGTTTATCATGTGGATCAACATCAATATGCATTCTTTGTTTGTGTACATCATTTACAGTAACATCAATATCAATTCTATCTTCTCGTGTATCACGTCGACCAACATCATACTGATGCATATAACCTTTAGCTGCTTTTTCTTGAATCGCTTGAATCGTATCCAATTGAAGTTCTGTCATATCTTTCTTCCAATCACGATGTTTTCTATCATGTTGCTTTTCACCTTTGACGACGGATTCTTCAATAAATATACTCTATTTAAAAGAACATATATAGCTATTGATCTTCTTACCACTGTCGGTGGCCAATGTGTCCAACCATTTTCTCTCTAGACCTGCTTTGATATCTTCTACAGCGTTGTTTAATGCTTTGGATAATGTATGATCACCATCAGCCAATCTCAATGTACTTGTATTCAATAGACGAAGTGATGTTGATATTGATATTGATGGTGAATGAACAGCGGTAATAAATCGTGTTAACATTATCAAGTGTGATTGAGTACGAATTTAAAAAAAAAATATATACGAAGAACAGAAAATTTTTCTCCATTATCGTAATGATTCAGAGAAAAATTGCCATTCGACAATGATAGACTAATCTTAATGGACGATATTTTAGTGATTTCATTTTCCAAGAAAAAAACAAAAAAAAAAAAAAAAAAAACTTAAACGGAGTAGAGGTCCGTTACTCTCACTTAATTGGTCAATTTATTTCTCCAATCTAGTAGAATGAACATATATCTATGCATTCACTCACATCCATTCGATCTGTAAGCTGCTGTGCTCATGATTCATCGATTTATTCTTCGCTTCCTTAGACAGATACAACATACCAACACTCCCTACCAATCTCGTATTTCACAGTATGACTCATTATTGTTTAAGAATGTTTTAAACTAAAATCGAAATGTTACTATAGTAAAACTCTGCAAAAAAGAATACAAGAAAAAACCACTAATGGATAAAAAAATTTCTATAAACATATTGACATCAGTCGTACAATTATCTTCTATAAATTCGATATATTCGCAACAATGCCAAACCATCTCAAGTTCATGATATGATTCTTTTATGACCAAGTGGAAATTTCAATATTGGTTTCTGATGAGTTTGAAGAGTATGAGATATTGAGATTGAATGCCATGTGAATCTAATGTTGCTTCCCGTGTTATATTGAACGAAACTCGAGCCGATGATTATTACATTTAGTCACCATGAAAATATTCAATTTTTGTTTCAAAGAAAGTTTCTCTCTGTGTCATTTCGATACCGATTGTTTTTTCTTCAGACAATGAATAACAATAATAGTAGATTAACATATAATCTTTCAACTATTTTCCTTCTTTTCTATTCTGCAACAATGGAATGGCAGAAGATTAGCCAGCTAATCGCTCTTATTATTTTACTGCCTGATTATAATAGTATTGATCCCTATCTATGTCTACTTGAATAGAAAGAAAAAAAGCATCATTTTTTACTTGACTGATGTCATAGATAAAGATATCAGGAAAAGTGTTCACAACTCAATACATATATCATGATGTTATTCGTTTCGCAAATATTTCAAGATGTATTCATTTGTTGAAGCAAGCACAATAATGGCGGAGGTGCGGATGATTGAGAGTATGTGAATGAATCCATTGAATAAAAATGATGACCGAAATTTTTCATGATGAATTCTACATCAAAGTCACAGCGTAAAAATCATCAAATTAATTACATTAAAAACTTTAAACTTTCACCAGGATTATACCATGAAAAACATAAAATAATAAGTGTAGATCTTTTTTGTCATCTTAGTATTCTGCAGACTCTAATGCAATAACTTTACCTGAGCTGTTCTTAAGATCTAGATTCATTGTCCTCCAAGAAGCTGCATGGCAAACTCTTGTAAAGTCCAACCACTATAAACGGACCAGCGGTTAAAGACTTAAATTAAAGAATTTATATTATAAAAAGCAGGACACGACATCCTGCACATTTCGTTTTTGTAAAAGCAGTACCTATGAGAACAAACAAATATATAAAATTAAAGCTATTTTTCCTTCAAAAAAAAGAAAAGAACAAATTTGTTCATTTTGAATATGATAAAAAAAATTGAAGATTCAAATAAAATGATTTCGATTTTTTTTTCGGAATAATCAAATTAATCAATTGTTTTTTATTTCATTGAAAGAGAAAATCCAAACGTAATACCATACCCCGCATCCACATCCTCTTCATCAAACTCCATTGAATACAAAGAGAAAACTCAAAGCTTCAAATATAAGAAATTTTTGAAAAAATATCTTTTGCAAATTAAGTCCAGTTTGATGAAAAAAAGTTCATGAAAAGGCCACAAATGTCTCATTTTGCTAAAAAAAAATCTTCAGATGAGCTTATTTAACAAATATATACGATAGAATTTAGAAAACTAGTTTTGAAATGTCTTGATTTTCGAAAAGGTATATTTTCAAAAAATTTTATTAAAAACTAGAACGATATCTCATGTTAAAGAATATTGTTTTAGTATCACAAATCCTATTTTCTCATTCATCTTAGCTTTCACTCGTAAGACAATATCTCAAAAATAGAATTGTGCTAAACTTTTTATCTTTACTTTAATCATTCTCAATTAATGATAAAACAATTAAACTATTTCTACTATTCAAAGAAGAAAAAAAGAACTATAAGTTAATACTTTTCCGGTCTATTTAGAATAACAATCAGGATCTACTAATAGTATTCTGAATATTCTAAGATTCGATAGTCATTATAATTGTTAGTTGATTCTCATTAGTAAAACTATCAATGATATGTGGATAGAATTCTAATAAGTTTCATTTTTTTTTACTTTTGTCTGTTATATATTTTATATGAACATAGTCATTATTCAATATTATCAACAATTTTAATTCGATTATCTTTTTAAATTTTTGAATGGATTTAATTAATATCATTGTTTTTTTACTTTAAAAATTTAGTAATTATACATTATTCACTGAGTGTTTTTTTTTATATATTCATTTGGAAGTTATATTTTCTCGTATTTATACAATGGGTCCCAAAATTGTTCAACAAGATGTAATTTGGATTTTTTTTCGTAGCCTTAAGTGCTAGAAAGAATCCAAATAGTGATTTGAATAGAGAATATTGTTGCCAACAAGAATTCGAGAAAATGATAACCATCATGAATTTTTCCAAAGTAGGGTTTCTGGAAAACCTAAATCCTAATTTTTCAACATCCAAAAGCTACAACAGAAAACTTTTTTAACAGTCTAGAATTATAGAGCAGCCAATTCTCTGCAAAATAAGACGTCTCCGAGGTTTCTACGACCTTCTCTCCAAAAGTTATAAGCATCACAAAAATCGAAAAAATGCGTTTTTTAGTCGATTTTCCCATAAATTTCACTTTTTTTCGTTTTTTGTGATGCTTATAACTTTTGAATACAAGGTTGTAGAAAGCTTGAAGACGTCTTATTTTGTAGAGAATTGGCTGCTCTATAATTCTAGACTGTTAAAATAAGTTTTCTGTTGCAGCTTCTGGATGTCGGAAAAGCAAGGTTTTGGTTTTACAGAAACTCTACTTTGGGAAAATTCACGATAGTTATCATTTTGTCGAATTCTTGTTGGCAACAATATTCTCTATTGAAATCACTATTTGGATTCTTTCTAGCACTTAAGACTATGAAAAAAAATCCAAATTACATCTTGTTGAACAATTTTGGGACCCACTGTATGTTGAGCGTGAGTGCACGTGTAATACAATATATATATATTTCGTTGTGTGATCACTGATAATCTTTTAAAATTTGAACAGCTAAGAATAGTATTTAAAAATTGAAACTACTCTATTTTATATTTCTTATTCTCTGACATGGTAATCATCGTCAATATACATATTGCAAGGAAATTTAGACAACGTTCTCTGTCAGTATAATTAGATATCTTTTATTTAAACACGAAATAACTATATCAAGTTATTCTCAGTTCATCCTTTATGGCCATTACTATTTTTATTAGCACATAGATTGTTCTGCTATTCTCTCGTTATTTTATCGACGATTAAGAGAAGAGAAACAAAAAAACAAAAAACTCAAGATAATAATAGCAAAGAGAAGAGAAGATGCAACCATTGTTTTCTTATAAGTGAAAGGTAAAAACAACCGAAAAAAATCAAAATAATTAAAAATCGATTTTTATCATAATCTTTTTTTCTAAGTTTATAACAATTTCAACATTCAATCGATTTATTCTATTACGAAACATCAAAGATATAATTTAATTTAAAACCATGTATACTTGATAAATATATGTTCAATAAAAATAATTAAACCGGGTCTTCTGTAACTTTGAACACAGAAAAAACTCTTAATATTGCACAGCAAAACAATGCATCGTTTCGTTCGATATATAAAGTCGGCGATAAAAGTTTAAGCGAATTTGTTTTTATACATTTCTTTTTTCTTCCATGGGGATATAGATAGTAACAGAGGTCGACTACATGATGTAGTATTAGAAAGAACGACCTTTGTCTATTTAGATTTTTCATAATTAAAATAATTTTCTTTCAAGCGACAACAAGTGTTAGTAGTTTTTCAGTATTCTACATTTTCTAACCAAGAGATTAGAGCTAAAATGAAAAAAATTGAGCAGTCGGAAAAGAATATCATGACCTGTCTGTTTGTTAAATAAAAAATTTGTGTTCTCAAAGTTGGCCTCCACCTCAAAAACTTGATTTTAACAAAAATAGGCAGATTTTTTTAAATAGCTATTCTCGTTAGAATCAAAGTTTTGAGGTAAAGATCAAATCTGAGAATGGAACTTTTATTTTAGAAGCCCATAGAGCGTGAAATTCTTTCTCGACTGGTCTATTTTGTTTTCATTTAAGCATAAATCTCTTAGTCAGAAAATTCGAAATACTGGAAACTACTTAAACTTTTGTTATCAACTGTATATTTCAATTTATTCTATCAAACATGTCAATCAAATGAAAATAATTTCGGTTTCAAATTAATTAAATCTACTCAAAAATTTGAACTCTCATATTGGTTGAAATGCTTATTCAAGGAAAGAAAAATATATTAATCTAATCTCTTTACAAATCTATAATTTACTTTTCTGCTTGATTGATTTATAATAGATATTAAAAAAGAAATATGATTTCAAAGAATATATATATATATATATTTTTTTTAAATCTACATCTCCGACTATAATCATATTAGAATAACTGACATGTTTTTTTCCATGATGTGAGATAATGTTGCTTGAATAAATTATTAGTATCAAAAGAAAAAGATTATTTCCGCAGTAAATTCTTTGAAAATTAATATTCTATCTTTAACATAAAAAATAATATATCGGAGAGAGAGAGAGATATTGGTTTCATGGACTAATGGTTTGTTGACAAACAGAATTTTCTTATAATATTCTTTGAAATAGATTTTTTATGTTCAAATAAACTATTGAGATTTTTGTATTATTTCGTTTAAAGTATTAAA